CTAACTAAAAAAAATTAATACTTTCAAATTTAGACAGCAAGTGCCATATGCCTTTGTGGGACAAATGCAACTGTGATACATAATACTCAAATAAGATACGGCTGTCATGTTTCTAAACAGTTTAATAAAGGCTTTCATTAAGTTCCACTCTCATACATTACCTAGTGGTGGTCTGATGGATCTCTTGATACACTTGCTGACCCAGATGCCCCTGCAGAGAGTCAAGGATCAGCATCCTGCATTGGAAAACCATCAAAGACATTACACTGTTCTCATCAAACACTTTGGTAGTAGGAAACTTGTCTATGTCGATTAACTGCTTTTCAGGATACATGAAGAATTATTTGTAACCTCTGACAAAACATTTAAACATATAATAATTAATGAGAGTAAACCAAGTAGATTGTTTATTGCTCTCACATTTTCCTGTGGTCTCAAGTGAAGTGGCATATTCAACTGTCTATAATTCTGGTCGGTTTTCGGCTGCAAAAGGGCTTCAATCACTTTTTCAGAAACTGCTTGGAAGCTGTCGCCTCCATTTATGCTATTTCCATCAGCCAAAATTTCCCCGCAATAAAAATTCTGACCAACATATCCTATTATTGGAATACATAATAATATATATTATATACAAAAGTGCTTCAAGCTGCTTGCTCACTACAGTGACCTAAACTATACATCCCACAATTGGAGGCCATGACAATACTATCCTAGCAGAATCTTTAGCCACTGAGAAAGACTCTGCTAGGATTGAAACATCTGATCCCTTTTTTGAGAGGCATATAATGGGAAGCAGATCTATAGTGTACTATTTTAGCCCTTACCTTGTTTAAACTTATAACAGTGATGGACACACTATGTTGATTTCAAAAGACAATACTTCATGACAAAAACATCTTAATTAAAATATTCCATGTAAAATAGTAAATTTTCTCACCTCTGAGTCTCTTTGTCAACAACAACGCCAATCCAGTGGTTCCTAAGGAAATAAGTAAATGGCGTTGTATTGCTAAATAAATTTATATATTTGATTTTCGTACAAACACATAAATCTGTCGTGCGGAAAAACAACTGGGAATCTCATTTCTCTTTCAAAGTGAACAGTGATATTTCTTTTCTGCCAGTGAAAACAGAAATTGGCTTGTATGCATGTGAAAGATTCCTGTGGTTGATATATAGTTTAAGCTAAGCTAAAATAACCTGGGACATTCATTAGACTAGTACCTTGAAAAGACACAAAGCCAAACAAAGTGAAGTATTTAGGACTCACAAAATGCATACAGGCATCAATATGCGTTTTTTGGCATGCAGGCCAGAAGCCGGAATGCCTATAGTACGCAGATGGCCTTTCATTCTTTCCAGTAGGTGGTCCTCCGAGAGTGTGTTGAACCAACTGCCTGCACAATGAAGTACTTGCCCTACAAAGTATGGCAAGGCACATGCCCAGTCTGGCTCCTGTGTGAGTATCATGTGTCTGTGGGTAAAAACAAATCTTTCGTGAGTAACAGTACAAGAAGCCGCACAGTTTGAAAGCAACATTGTTTCTCTTCACATACATACCTTCATTGTCTAAAAATTACTGACCTTTGCATGTTTCGATATTTTCTTTGGTATCCCCAGTTTCAAAACCAACCTCAAAAAGAAATCCATACATTCGCCGGATACATCTTTCATATCTCGGATACGGTTGATGTCCCCAACTGTTAAATCCACACCACCCAGCCTGGAAGCTCTTGAAAGAGGAATCAAAGGTAAAACAAAACAAACAAGTCCATGTGAAATACAACAACTGTGTAGAAATATATATTAAAGGGTCAGATTATTACAGATTGAGGCGATTCGTTCTTGTCTTTGCGAAAGTGCTTCGGAATAAATACATCCAGACAATCAAAAACAAGTCAAGAAATCAGACTTGGAAGAATTGAAATGTTTACAAATCATGTGTTAATGGAGTAGTAGAATGTAAACTTATCTTAGCAAAAAGACACTCCACAATATCAAAATGACGTACCTCGCAGTTGAATTGAAACAACAGTTGAAGGAGCTGATTTCTTCTGCCATGTCTGCAGCCAGACCAGTGCAGAGGCAATGAAACCATACCCTGCACCTGTCACACTGAATCCAGAAATTCATACTCTCTTTCTCTGCTTGACACATGTCAAGTAGCGAGGCAATGCAGAGATCCACCCCCTCCACGTCTTCTTTCTTGAGTGGATCCCCAACATGTTTCTTTCTAGATCCTTCACCTGTAAAGAGTCATTATTCGCAGATAATCATTGGCAAGATAAATATTAGTTGCCAGGGAGGATGGAGACTTGGACCTTAGTTTGCTGGGGGGCTGCGATGGGTTTTGGACCGGTACAACTCACAATGCCCAACAAGAGTTCACCACCGGAGACTGCCATGCTTTTTGAAAAAAAAAACAGAACAACATATGCATGGGATCTGGGGCTACTGTTCGGGATGTGGTAGTAGCTTTTAAAGTAAACTGTGAAGGGGTAAATGACTTATGAATAAATAAAATGACACTTACGCCTTGGGACCAAAGGAACAAAGTGGTTCATTGGCCTAGTATCCGAGGTCTTCACCCACATCAGGTGCACCACTGTCAATTGTTGTTGCTCCTCACATGGACACGGATGAAGCAACGTGTCATATCCCAGGCCGGGGTCTTCGCAATGTTGCTGAATGAGCACATTCAGATATCCGGCAGCAAAAAGAACCTGCAAAATACCTGTTACAAAGGCAATCATTCATCACGTGATAGTCATTTTTATTTGAATAATGGTCTTCTGCAGATATTTCATGATGTAAGTTTAATGAAGCATATTCCTAGATATGAAAAAATGCTAATTGTCATTTCAATGTTAGTAAACATCCAATGAAGAAACAGAACTCTCCATCTGCAGTATCACCATATGAAATCATACTTTTAATGCACAAATAGGAAATTTGTTGTCTTAATCTTATTTATCTTATTCACCCAAATGTTGTATTCGTGAACTCTAGGTACAAATCGCATCAGAAAGAACACAATAATTTGCTGATATCTCATATTAATCTGTGTCGGGAAAATATTGCCTCTCTTGTACAGGGCCTTAAATTCAATTATAAAACCATGTGAGCCATTTCACATTCAAGAGGTACAGGCACAATTGCAGATTACAGGCTCAGAAGGCTTTTTTTTTGGGGGGGGGGAATTTTACAGTTTGTTGGTAAAAAACAGTTACTCATGTGTTGCACAACCTGCTTTATAAGAGTTTTCTCAGAAGACAAATGTAATAAAAAAACATCAGTGTATTCATGCCTATTTCAATGACCAATTCAATCAGTAAACTCACCTGAATATGCTCCAATTCTGGCTGTGGCTGCCGCCTCTGTCCGTAATGTGTGACTGATGATGTCCTTTGGATTACAGCCTGAGATATTGACCATTGACCTGTCCATTGTCATCATGTGCATGAAAGCACATGATGACGGTATATCATTGAATTCACTCAAATACTGCGGAGAGAACAGATTGCATTACGATGTTGCACTAAAAGAGTACAAATTGAAAGAAGGTGATAATTAATTAGTATCAAGAAGTGAAAGTAAGTTATTAACACACCATGAAGTTAGGTAAAAAGAAGTTGTAGAGGTTACACGCATAAAAAAATTCTGCTGGTTTTGTGCCTGATTAGAGCTATGCACAGCAGGCAGTTGATTTGTGATGTTTAACTTTATACGTTGAAAAGACTGCAGATAAAACTGACAATCCATTAATTCCAATTTTTGATCACGTATGACAACATAATAAGCAGATATGACCAGAAAACTTTTGAACATCTGTTGCAAATGACATTGACAAGGTGGATTAGTGGGGCAGTCACAGATTAGAAGTACACGGCTATGAATGTGGTCACATTTCAGAAGATAGGCACAACAGCTTAACAAAACGTTTTTGTGGACAATCCATGTGTAAAAATGTATCCATACATAAATCAAGCTTTGTTGAGAATAGAGTGTGTGACAGTGCTTGGCCTCAATTTCCGACACTTCTTTTGAGCAATTTCATGTCTGCAGAATCTTGTGGTAAAGTATACATTATGATATAGTTGGTGATGGAAGGTCTCAGGTACAGCAGTTCATGAAAAGACTACAAGATAAAGGCATACCATGGCAACGTAGTGCTGCACATGACACACAGCATGTATGGTACAAGACAGGCGGAGGAAGAGGGTGGCCTCTTCCGTTCCTTGCTGAAGCAGACTAAGGGAATGGAATAAGCAGTCTCCATCCCCGCTGCTTAGAAGGGCAACAAAACCCGATGGCGTCCTCTTCAGGGTAGTTCGACTGTAAACAGGAGGCACGTACATGTATCAAGAAACGATTAGTGCAATACAATTTTTAACATCTCAACTGGTAGGATTAATATTAAGCCTTGAGGATATTTGCCTTCCATGATGTGAAATTCAATGGAATGACTATGCGGATGTACCAACAGAGAGAATGCATGGTAGTCATCACCGGAGTTTAAGTAACAAACAGTGAAATCAGCGAAAACAAAACACCTTTGGAATTAACTGAAAATGTAAAGAAATTGAGTGGAATATTTTCAGATAGCCATCACAGCCATTACAATTGTTTTTGTGGGCAATCATAAATGCAGTACAATTTCAGAGGTTAAACTATAACAAATAGTTACAACACAGCAGCTTTGCAAAAACAAACAGAAATTACATCTCGCTACCTACACATAATCAATCCTGCAGTTCGATGGAACTTGGGTTGCATCCTTGACTTGAACTGCTTTTGCCTTAGCTAAAAACTTCGCCAACAAGTGGCACAGACTCTCCAGGTCTTGCCACGAAGAACACTCCTTGAGCTGTCGTAAAACGGCTTAATTACCTGTCTATAATACAAATACATATACAAAAACATCAGTTACACTGTCTGACAGTGTACACAGCAAATAAAGCAAGCACACTGCGGTTCGACGTTTGGATATGATGAATGCTTCAGCGAACCTGGAAGTCTCTTAGAACTTTCCTTTGATCGGAAGTAGTTCCCGCTGTTGTACCAGGTGGCGTCAAAGGGCTGTCTGGTTGCCTGGCAGTGGTAGAGGCATCTGCTGATGTTCCTGCACCCGCTGAGAAATCTGGCGGTGGGCCAGCTTGGCTGCTTGGTGAAGGCCCTTGTGCGGCATCGGATGAGACTCTGGAATGTGCAGTATATGCCTCATACACTGCACTCAGTTGAAATACATTTAATCTCTGCTGGTCACCTTTAAACAAGAAATATATCTTAAAAGGACAAGAAGACTGGAAGAGTACCACAAAGTCTAATAAAAATATTTGGATACACACAGTCAAAGAGGCTAAATTCAAAATGACCTTTCCAGCTCTGAGGCCTGAACTGAATGCAATGCTTCAAAAAGCAAATTATAGCCCATAAACACTGACTAACGATACTTATAATATTTTTCAAAAACGGGGCTTATAACACTGTCCATCACACAAAAAAGGTTTCAATTTTGAGGTGTGACTTTCAAACATGTTTATTTGAAATGTAAATTACGCAACAGCCAACAATAAACATCCATGTTACAAAAACAATCATAAACTTAAAGTGTAAATTGGATTACGGTTGTTACAGTAATAATATCTCTGTATCAGGGCACATGACAATACATATGTGCATGCATCTCGTGAACTCTACACATTTGTTAAGTTTAACCATAAATACCTGACACCCAGTTGGGCGACTGAAATGGAATTTCCCCTGGCCACCAACTTGGTTTGTTCAGTTCATCTGTCCAAAAACGTTTCACATCTAAAAACACAATGTTGGGTGAAATTAAAGTTAATTAAGTATTTTGTGATTAATTACATCATTTTAATATAACTTGTGGTTTCCATGTATCCATTGCATTGAAAATGAAATTTAGGAAGGACAATGAAGAGGATAAATGACAAATCATTTAAAAGCATGTGACTTACGCTTTGGATTGCAGGCTCGAGTTATAACCCGTCTCAAGGCAATTGCTGACAGCTGGTTTGCAGGAGTGTCACATGTTGGAGGTGAAGACGGTGGTGGGAAACGAGATTCTGAGCATAGCAATAGTTATTTCATTGGAGAAAATGGATTGGATGTCAATACATGAAGTTCCTGGTAGTGAAACAAAGTAGTGAAGCAAAACATGCTGAATCTGCAACGTGTTATCTTGAAGGGTTAAACTTGCTAATAAACAGGGAGAGGAATTTATTCTTGAGAGACAGACTTTCATATTTCTTTGTTTTGATAGCCTTTCGGGTGTGATTTCGCACACTTGTGGATGGAAGGTTAGCAGTAGTTTTTCTTGTTTTCAGAGCTATTTCCTTTTCCCAACTTTTTTTTAAAAGGGAAAATTGTTTCAGATTTTACTTTTTGTTTAGTATGGATAGTAAACAAATGTGCTTTCAGGAATTAGAGCTGCTGTAAATGATGACTAGTTATACCAGGTAACCAAGCAATCAACAAACACAAACACAATTCTGGCGATAGGAATATTCTGATATTTACCATGATAGTTTGATCCAAATAAGTTACTAGGACGCTGTATTGCAGCCTCTTTGAATCTTCCAATCACAAATGGGTCCTCCGCAAAAGATTTCATGAAAGCTGGACCTTAAATGTAAAATATCAAACATGAAAAAAAAATATCAAACATGAAAAAAAAAATATTCTGATAAACTCACTGCAATTTCATGCATTTTCTTACAATGAATTAGGAACAGCGGAGAAATACATACCACCCCATTCCAGAACTCCCTGGTGTAGCCTCAATGTGACAAATGAAGACACTGATGCTCCCATTGTAGATACCCATTTTGAAGCCTGCAAGAAATTAATATACCACTCCATGTTAAAATCTAGAAATCATATTACAAGATTCCACAAAAGATATTCCTAACCAAAACCATGCTAATATCACAACTGATGACGTGCAGGTGGTCTTACGCGAGCAGTATAACCATGTTCAAATTTTACTCTTAATAATCACATCTCAGTAATCGGTTGGAAGGTATCTGTCCTTTAACAAGTGTTATAACAGAACTCCCACAAATTAGTTGCATAAGTGGAATTTAATGTTTAGAAATTCAGTTTGTAGAAATTTTCAGTCCTGGATTTTAATGTGTGCTGAGTTTAGGGATGGAGTTGATGTGTCGGGATTGTGCTGGGACAGGATCTCACGTAAAGGGCAATATTCCCAACAAGTAGTGGAGGTTTTTTCCTTAAATTCATTAAAACGAAAGATGTGGTGAAGGTTGTGATGACATTTATCAGTAACATGAAAGTGTGTCACTTTGTATATGCTGAATAAGGTTAAAAAAATATGAAGTTCTGAAAAAAAATACAAGACAAATGATGTATATTATCAAGAAGAAATTCTATGAACGTGTAATGAAACCACTGACATCTAATGAGAGGCTGTGGTTTTAAACACAGTCCTTGAGAAGGAAACTAAAGGAAAAGCTGATGTAACTAAATTTATTTTGACACCAAGGATGTGGAAGCAAATAAAAAGAAGGAGTAGGTGATGGGGAGGGGTGGATACAAACTTAGATCACAGATTGAACATTTCAGATTTAGTCTTCAGGTTTCAAGCTTTGCAGTGGCCGTAAATTTCTATGTAGATAGCCAAGACGTGTGTGCTTGTGAATCAATCGATGTAACTCATGTGACTTG